ACACTTATGTATAAAACACTGATAACCCTTCCCAGTGGATATATAATATTTATTATTATTATTATTATTATTATTATGAGCGTATATGTGTATATATATATATATATATATATATATATATAGTCCACCGCACAATATAATAATACATATTCGACTATATTATATTATCATAATTTGTGCTGAACGCACAAGGCGTAAAATGTCATTCAACTTCTATTCCATCGAATTATCAAAACGAATATAGACCGCGTTAGCAAGCTGCTCAAGTCAACAAATTCAGATAACGAACATTTTTTAAACATTACACGTATTTAAATATTTATAATAGTTTCTTAAACATAAGATATGATGTATAGTTAGCAAAGATCATCCGTTTAATTTATAGAATGTTAGTGTAATTCGCATGCAATTTAAACGATATTTTACAATTGTTTAAATATATCAGAAGGTTTTTCTGTGCATAATATTAATTTATTCATTGTTCAAAATATTACTACACCAGTGTATTCTATAATTTACTATTTTAAACAGTAATTGATTTGTGGAAAATTCTCAACACAGAAACTCGTAGGATTTCGCAAGTATTATATAACAAGCAATAACTGAGTTTAGTTTTCGTCAGAAAGAGGAAAATTGTATTCATATTAATTAACTCACCTAATTATGCTTTCAGTAGTTGTGACCCTAAGTCCTTTGGTTCGGTGTTCCTTCATAACTAAAATCACAAACAATTCAAAGTCAGATATATGTATAAGTAAATAAATTTTGAATACAATAATACTGTTAATATTTTATATATATTTTAAATTTTTATTGATACATAAATATACTAAATATTTTAAAATTAAAAAAAAAATTAAAAATGTTAAGCACTACGAACATTTGTACTTTGTAGGTACTGCAGTCTTATTTTTGCCATACCAATTGTATCAATAGAAGTATCTAATGTTAGGTATACGCATTTTATCTTTATTATTAGGTAATAAAGTAACGACTGAAAAAATTGGGTTGAATGAACTTAAATAGATGTCTATAGTTTTTCTTTTATTAATTACCATAACATCATTTTTAACTTATAAATAGCATCTCAACATTATGTACAGTAATATTAAATTAGCAATTATATTTTATAATAAATTTAAAAAAATATTAATTTTAAAGTATATTATGAAATATTTGTAAAATATAAGTTTATTATTTAGAAATAATATGTTCATATAATATTATTAAATTTAAAACAATTTATAAGTATCAATAATTATGATTTTTGAATTTATTACAGAAATTAATAAATATATAATTAACTTTAAGATATTGAAGTAAATAGGTATTAATGTATTATTACATAAATTAGAAAAATCAAAACTTTTTATTTTTAAGTTGTAAAAATATATAAAATATATACAATTATTTTTGTTTAGTCAGTTTTCAAACAGTACCTAATTTAGGCATACATTGTACCCATTTAGCAAATAATAAAATACATTTCAATTAAAATGTAAAAAAACGGTCATTGCTAAATGATTTGAATTTTATATAAAGTAGGTATCAATYGGTTTTATTCCCAATATGGTAATTTGTTATATTATTGTGTGATTGATATAATCATCATGTTATTCTATGGGATTATATTATTTAAAGTAGGTACAGCTAATAATAATTATTTTTTAGGTACCCACCGGAAAAGAGACGATATCATTTGCGTGCACGTAAGTCCTTGATTCCGATTAAACCAAAATACAATTGGAGAAAAAAAATGACGAGTTGAACATTTGGTATTACGAGTGCAAGCAATTCAAAAACACTTCACATGAAACGTAATCAGAATACTGTAAATGGTTTATTGACATCCGGGACTACACAGCCCGACGGCGGGCTACGATGCACTGCGATCAGTTGAGTTCGCGCGCGCGGTCATCGGCTCGATTGAATTTTGCAGATTCGCCGTCGCAAGTGTGCCTACACTACGGAGCGGAGTGGCGGTAGACAGTATGACCACGTCAGGTGTGTGCCGCACAAAGGAGGGTCCAACCGTTACATTGTACTACCATTTACCGTTATAATATAATAATAATATATTGTAGACCTATATTGGTGATAATAATATAATATGTATATTAAATATTTTTGTTTTACCATGTCATAGGCACATGATAGATAGTATACGTTACATGGAAAATTGGAAACGTTTGTATTTATAATATATTATGATGTTTTTTTTTTTATACACATTACGTAATATAATACGAGTAGAAGTATACATTATAGAGTTTAATCTGGTGGTGTAATATAAAAGCTGATATCTGGGATTWGCAAAAAATTAATCTTAGATCAGAGACTTAATTACAGTGGAAAGTTGAAATTTTCAATAAYATMAAAAATGTTATTTKGTAGACATCTCAAGTAGTAGAAAGCAATTAAGTGTTAATAATATATTTATGAATACTAATTTTAAATAAAATATATTAATGTATT